TTGTGAATGATTTTATTTAATTTATTGACTATTTGATTGTTTAAGTTTTTTATTTTGTTGCGACTCGGGTAATTATTGTTGCTTAGGAATGACAATGGCACTAACACGTGAGTCATCGCGAATGACACATTTTTACGAAATACTTCAAGAGAATTTCCAAATAAAACAATTTATCCTCCGATTATTTGAGACGCAAAAATAAATAAAAAGACGCAATCATTATTAATTAATCTAATTCAGATTAAATGAATGGGTAATTTATTACTCACCGAATGTCCGGCAAATATCTGGTTGGAATTTAAATAATAAATTTTTTCTGCAATCTGCAAAAATTATTTTGGCTATTTTAATGATAAAATTGGATTTGGGGCTGCGATCAGCTGAGGAACTCGTCGGAGACTGACGCGACGTGGAGGACTACCTCCGAGAAAATCCAAGGGGTGAAGAGAAATATCTATAATTAAATTCATCTAGATGTTTATATATTATATACATGTCTGTCTCGTACGAGACTGTGGGCGAATCGCGAATTTTCGCGATGCGTTTTTCCGGCCACGCGATCGTTGGTCTCGTGGTGGTGAATACTTTTCTATTCCGTCTCATCCGGATTTTCATTCATTATTCCACTCAATGATTTACAGATAACGAACCACTAGATCTAGGGGAATCCATACTGATCCGTTAAATTTTCAAATATTTCTCTGCAAATATCAAATTTTTGAGATTTCGACAATAAAAATATTCATTAATTATTTTTTTAATAAAAATTGATCTTTTATATTATCTAAATTATGGAAAATTATATATATTATATTATTCTCTTTGAATTGTTTATTTATTCGTTGAATTTCCGATGATTCAAGTAGAATTGCTGATTTTTTAAATTTATAAATATTATTAATTCATATTTTTTCATTCCATCAATTTAGCCACAAAAAAATTAATTAACCAATTAAATTACTGAATTAATAACTAATTATTCATTTATTCTAATTATTCATTCATTTTTTTTGTAGAATTCTTGTGATTTTGAGAATAGTTTCTCTTTTTTCGTTATTTTTTTCTTTAATTCTCATAAATCAGAGCTGAAATTCACAGCCTCGACTTCCTCCTCCAGAGTTCATTGTCCTACGTGTGCAAATCGTTCTTAAATTAGAAAAATTTCGCTTCCATTCCAGAGAACTCCGACGAGAAATAAAATCTCATACCAATAAATTTATTCAAAATTTCATCCCGTGATTTATAATTAATTTTTCAAATTTTCTGTGGATCTCTCATTCAGATTTCCGACTTTTCCATTATTTAATTTCTATTCCAACAATTCCAACAATTGGAATTATTGCAATAATTCAATTGAATTCATTTAATTTTATTTTATTACATTTTTATTTATTTATACTCCGAAAAATATCTGGAGTGGATTTTTTTGTAAACAAATCCTCGAGATAAATATTTATTCAAAACATTTCTAGATCTCGAAATAAAAATTCTCCTTCGGATTAAGATATTCCCAAAAATATAATCTCAAGCAGAAACTCTTTATCTAAATTTTATCAGTCTGAAACGAGCAAAACAAAATGAACTCCACCTCCCCCCTAAATTCCGGAGTAATTCCCCCCCTTCCCCCCAAAATTTCCGCCTCACCCTCACCCCCAAATTCATCACCTCGCAATGAAAGAAAAAAAATAATTACAACCGCTCAAAAAACCAATTGCAATCAAAGTAATAATTTACGTAATTACACCCACAAATTGGGATCAAAGTTGATTAATTTTTCCACTGGCTATCAAACAATTCTCCCCCACCACTGGAATCCAAAGAGATATCACTTACGGCTCATTAAAAATACAATTTTGGGGAATAAAATAATGATAACTCCAATTTCGAAATGTCTCTCGGTATTTAAAGATTTGCGATAAAGCTGTCAGTGAATTGAGAGTAAATTGACATTTTCACTGTCAACCCCTCTTTTTCGCTGTTGAATTTAACAGAGGGGAGTAAAATCTCATTAAACCTCTCCGAAAAACAGGAGGGGGGGGGTAATGTTTACCCTAATGTGAGTGTTCTTCGACATTTCCGTTCACGACTTCCCCTCGGACGCCTCGATTTTTCCCATCCGACAAAATAAAACCCACAACTCATTCTTCCCCAATAATCCAAACAATAATAATTAATAATAATTCAATAATATATTAATAATGGTAATTATTGTTATTGTTCAGTAATTATTAATCAGTAGTTATTTAATCTCGATTCTCCGATTTATTGCTGTTAAAACTGGGATTTTTCTGATGAAAATTATTTAAAAAACGGAAAATTGTTTAATGACAAATCGATAAAGCGGAAAAAAT